TCGGTCTCATTTTTTTGCTGGGTATAAGCAATTCATGTACCAGTGAAGAGCACAGTACATGTACATATATATCAACTCTACTTTACACATGATAGTAGAAGTGGATGAACACCAATGCAAGATTTGAGGCCTGATGTCATCACCTGTCAACAGGTCAGGCCTCAAACCTGCTCTGTAATTTCCTTTCAGCACTAACACTAACAATATTGTCATCTACCCTTAAACTTGCTAGGCATTTAAAATGATCACGGGCAGGTCCAGAACCAAATTTACTGGGGCACTTTTTTCTATGGAAGGAAGACAGATAAATAAACAAACATTTATCTTCTCTCATTATTATTAACATTCTCTTCTGGCTCCGTTTTTTTTTGGGGGGGGGGCGAGTGGAGGTTGCCATCAAGAATGTTGAGTGGTTAAGGTAGATCGGACAGAGATGTGAAAAATATTTCTATTACTGTCCTGTAACAGTGCAGAGGAACACACTCAGAAATTAATGAATCCTCAAAGCCATTTCTTTTCCCACCTGCTTGCAGGATTTCGACAATGAGCTGAAAGCACTGACAATTTCGTCCACGAAATAGCATGCACTATTATACTAATGCTTGTTACAAGTTTGCACATGGGAAAAGGGAAACCGATTGACGTTTTTATCACGTCATGTTACGCGCTTCTTCGTGGAAGTTCAATATCAAGACTGTCTGCCTCTCACGGTTTGGACCTACAAATGTTACGGTGGGGATTTTATTTCAATCCAATTTATTAGATTCAGGCTCACCTGAATCCTTCCCCCATGATCTCATCAACTTTGCACTTTTTCCCAAGACGACAGAAAAGACGGAAGGAAACAAGCGTTCTTCCTATACACATTCCATTATAATTGCGCGCTGTACCATGAGCTTCAAGTCGCTGGGTGAGACCCAAGACGGACGATTATTAAGTTAGAATGATCTGACCCAATCCGTTAAAACGAAAGGAAGGAAACGATGATTTGGAGTTCATTTCCACTTTCAAATAAATGAACTCCGACCCTTACTGCGAAGCGCGCGGTTGGAAGCAAGGCAGGAGTGCACCGCCCCGTAACGGGACGCCAATTCCAAGCGAGCAGAGAGTGGGGTAGGGCCTGAAGTACTGATGTTCATGAAATCTCAGAAGTTTTATCCTCAAATTCAAGATACATGGTGTAGCAAACAAAGTTTTTGTAAATTTTAATCACCGACTGAGGTTAAACAGAATAACTGCCATCATAGACTTACCATTTCAATATTTGATATTAGTCTTCTTGAAGTCGAATTGACAACCAGGGTTTAATGACCCCCCAAATCAAAGTAAAACCAAATGCGTCAGAAAACGAATTTTCAGAAAATCAAAACGCAACAGTAGGCCTATACTACCAAATCCTTTCAAAAAAAAAGAAAAAACGTGGGGATATTCCGAGAAATGACGATTTCTTCTGCAAAGAACGGACCAGCAGATTTATTTTTCTACATCCGATCTGCACTTTTCACGTCAATACTTTAAACTGGATCAAGTTGGTTGGATGTCTGTGCGTGCAATGACGCAAAACTACAGGTGGCGTATTAACCTGCATTAAAGCCATGACCAAAAGGCGGGAAATCAGGGACCCATGCAGAGTACAATCGTGAAAACTTCAAGCACAGAAAACAGTTGACTGTTAGATACTAACAGCCGAGGAAGTGACTACACGTATACATGTACATCTTTCCAGACACTGACGCACTATTGCCAAGACTGATTTTTAAGACCAGCTGCATACACAGAATGATCCACAATTTGAAAAGATTGACATGCAGATTACGACAGGGAAATACAAAAAAATGTCTTCATTTCCACTTTCAATAAACTTAAGGTTGCTCAAAAAAGAAAGATTCAAGTCAATATTGTGTGCTTCCAAGAAATGTAGAACTTTCGAGGGAAAATTAATCGAGCACAATATGCACTGCCGATTCATTTTCCAGAGACTTCTAACCTTGACAATAAACCTCACCCCTTTTTTTAAGCAGTGGTTTATTGATGTCATTAAACTCAGCTATACCATGCTTAAACGAATCCTGGTGACTCAACTGTGATTTATTTTGCTTGCGGCTTGTCACCAAGGTTACATGCTTGTGGCTTTGCAAGCTATCAGTTCAAGAAAGACTTGGGAGGCAAGATCTTAAGCAATCTCCCACAGAAAAGCAAGCCATTCCTCCAAAGGCATTACCTCCCCCGCATCATACCCGCACAATCTAAGGCTTTGTTGGCCAATCGGATGGACGCCAACTAATTCATTCGACCTTCGGTATCACGAACTAACAAACACATTTGTTCGGCCACTATAAAAAATAACTACTGCATTAGTCATGCCATGTGGTACATAGAGGGCGCTATTTGCTATAGCAAAGGCAGATTTTGAAGAGGGCGCAATTCATTTTGTCGATTGCAGGGCAACCTCCTTATGTATCTAATTGTTCTTTGTCCAAACTTAAACTTGTTACAACTTATGTCATACAATATGCATGCACAGTAAAGGGAAACTTCAAACACATTATTCCTAAAAATCATATTTTATCAGTCATACTTTAAAAAAAAAAGCAATGTCAAGCTTTTGTTATATTGTGAATAACAACATCTCACCCACAAAAATACTACAAAAATGTTATGTATGTAAAAAGTATGTTTTCCAGCTTTAAAGTTTCCTCACACTGAAGATCTTTGTCTTAATGATAAAAAAATTATGAAGTGGGGAGCTGATGAGGTGGATTAATTCCAGATAACTGAACCATGGTCAGAAATTTGCTTAAACTAAACCTACACGTGTATTTCAAACAGCATACTAAACCAATCTGGTGCTGTTAGAGATAACCAGTCAAACACTGATATGTGGGAATTATTTCAGAGAAGTAATTTAACAAGGGGGAAACACTGATTTCATCTTTTTCAAATGAAAGCAAGTACATCAGCAAGTATTTATCACAATTTCCTTAACATCACTCCATTTTCATTTAGTAAACTATGCCTTCTGTTGTTTGTGAGCATGAACCTCTATGGGCATCCTCTCATTTAACAATAAGAGGACAGCCATGACAGCTACTGGCAGTCAATAATTACCAAAATTATGCAGCTGAAACCTGGAGCTGATGCTGGAGACAAACCCAAGATTTGGTGGATGGTCAAAGATATTTCCAATCTGGGAGTCTACAGATGTTGAGGACGTCACGAGACAAATGAGTCCTTGTACAGACATAGCTTTGAAGGATATGTGGCTCATCACAGCAGTCAATCACTTCAACCAATGCCTGGTACCCACTCATCAATAATTCGGACACCAGTTACTGCCATCAATAGGCATCAGATTACCAGTGCATAACAAGATGATATCCACAATCCACCACACACCGAAGCCTCCAAGCGTTAGTAGTTTTCCTACAGCCATTCCGACATGACCCAGACAGAATCTATCCACTCCAAAAAAGCCCAGCAGAATTGAAAATAAGAGGGTTGTCACAAAATAGTGCCCGGTATATCTGTTGAGGTTTGGAGAAAAAAACAAGACGATGAACTGTAGGAACTCGCCATCTCATCTATATGTAGCTTTACTGTCTTTTTATCTACTGTGGCACAGATCTTCTTTTGCTGTAAAAATGCTACCCTTCTCAAACAGTTATCTGCCTATTTTTGGAGATTTGGGCCTTCAGGTTTACACTTTTCAGGCAGGGCCAATTTTATTTTAGAAACAGTCTTCCAAAAACGGTAATTACACAGTTCAGACCCAAAATAAACAAAAATAAATAAACTTCCGTGGAATGCCAAGGAATTAATCAATTAAGCTTTACAAACTGAGGCCCAAACATTATAGTATGCAGAACTCTGGTAGAAATGACCACCTGTTTTTCTTGGATGAGGCCTTACATACAAAAACCGTAGCTACAACCAATGACCAAATACTCACTTGATGCAGGGCACATTGTCTTTGATGAAGGTCCTATTACCATAACATTCAATGCCAGGGAGAACTGTACAGTAAACTTGTGTTGTCTGTACCTCTTCATAACGTTGCTTGCCATACTGTGAGAATAAATGACATAAAACCTCATCAAATGACACACGACATATCCCAAAACTCATGTTTTTATCCCTTAAAATTTTTAATCATACGTGCATTACTAACCGAGATTCAACAATAAATGCAAGGGATTGTGGAAGTTTGTCAACATTTACCATATACACCATGTAATTAGGCAAAGAGACAACCAATTTCTAAGACATCTGGTGATATTTTTATTAACTGCACTGGAGGGATGAAGTCTTGAATGGTGAGAGGCAAGCTAAAAAGTTGACAACAATAGATGGTTTTGATTTCAAATCTTGGTTGAACCTTACTTGTGTGCATCCAAATTCTCCTGGCTCTTTGGTAGTGTTTCCATTAACTGCAAACAAATCAATTGGTGTCTCACACTCCACATATTCCGATGGCCTAGACAAATTACACACAAACAAACATGAAAAGGAAGAACTACTTAAGACATTTAACCACTTGCTGCCGGGGAACCCTGTTTTGAGCACCATGGTTTTATATGTAGAGCCGGGACGCCCAAAATGGGACAAACGAGCTGGTCCATGTAACACAAGACTGTAATCGGAACAAAAGACCTGCTGCTGGGAATTGCCATCATTTTTCGGCTTGCATTTTTCGAAGGTAATCCGTCACTGTTTTTAAACAGTATACCACTGTTTTGGGCATAGCGTGCCCCCAGATTAGCACCGCGGACAAAAGTGCTCCATCAGGGCCCCATTGATGAGTAACACAGCACTGCTGCATGCTAATCCAGCCGCGTTTGAAAAGATGCCAATCGCATTCACTGGGGACAATGGAAATTGAGCAACACCTCACAATTCTGGTCTCTCTTTACAGGGCGGCAGGCCTCGCTGAAAATTCAGGAGTCAATGAAGGCTACCTGTCAGCTTAGAGTAGCCACCAACCAGTCATTCATGTGGGTGTAAAACGTCCATGAAATGAAATGATGAATTTTTGAAGAATTTTAAAAAGCACCCGGCAGCAAGTGGTTAAAACAACAATTACCTGATCATGTCAATTGTACCTGAAAGTGGAACAGCAAAATGGGAAATCAGCAAGATTTCAACAAATATGTGGATTGCTTTGTATCTCAAAGTTCACAGATTTTCCAAACGTTCTTGCATTGGTGACCTGAGCCCAGTGTACAGTGCTAAATAAGATGTAATGTCGCTTACAACATTTTGTTTTGATGTTTGCGAATTTTTGCGTTAAGTCATGTAAGTGTGAGCTTGCCACACCAGAAAATAGCTACTTCATACACTTACGCCAATTCACATCGTATCAAGGGTGACTTGGGGTTGTACTTCACTCCACATGACTCATCCCAACATTTCTTCACATCTGGAACAATTATTTCGTGACTTTCCGCATGAATTTCGGAGAAAAAGGACAGCAAATACGCCAAAAATGCAACAAACGTTGACGTTGCAAGAAAATTTACACGGGAAGTGGACATCTTGCATGTATTCTTGATGACAATTGAAAACAAATGTCGCCCTCGTGCGTTCATTTACATTTACTGAGCTGACGGCATGGCGCGAGTTGTGAACGCGAGGAAGTATAAGGTAGGCCCTGGCCTAATTTTTAAAAAATGTGGTCAGTTGAAATTCGCAACAAATTTCAGTCAATTGTATTAAGAATTATTCCTGAAATTTAAATTAAGCTGTGTATGCAGAGCTGACGATTTACGTGTAGACCTACGTCTAGTACGTGTCCACTCCTTTGCAACTTACATGACTTAAAATAATTGGAGCTATGGTCGCAGTACCTCCATACAGTAATTAAGAAGAAGAAATGATTGAGCGTGAAGTTTGATCAAGTGCTATCACAGTCAGTGTCATTTGGAATTGGTTGTCATCAGTGTTAGACTGCTAGTGGTCTGGGCGTGCCTGTGCTGTTTTTGCTGTGCGACATGTCCTCGGTCGATGGAGGGAATGTTGGTCAAGTCATGGAGGTAGAATTCTACCTCCATGGTCAAGTCGTCCCTGAGTCAACTCGTCCCTGAGTTAACTCGTCCCCTAGTCAAGTCGTCCCTGTCTAAATAAAAAAATAATTATAATTTTACTGCAGTAATTCATTTTGGGGGATAATTTATTTCAATTTTGGGGGATGACTTGACTCCAGGACGACTTGACCCGGGGACGACTTGACCCGTTTCCGATGGAGGAAGCCCCCTTCATGCCCTATATTAATGTTTGGCCGACTCAGCACCACCATTTATTCATGTTTCTACAGGTCGTAAGTGAGAATGTAACTTCATCTGAATTTGTCACCTTGGGTTGGCAACCATTCTCGCGCCCTTGCTCCATCCATGCCTGAATCATGAGTGAAGCTACCAAATCTGAGAGTGAGAGTTTCATCTTACACAAATGGCAGAAATGTCACTTTGACCTTCATGGGCCCCAGGCCAGTCCCCGTGTCAAAATTGATGCCGTCACGGGTATCCTGCAGCAGATTTACCAAGCTAGTGCCATTGGACGGTAAGGCTGTGAATATGAATTCCAACACAGTTTCAATACCTGGGAGACTTTGACACTCTGGTGGCAGCAGACATCCTGATCCTTCTTCTCAGTACTGCACATGCTCAGAACAACGCATGCATGCTCAGAACTGGTAAAAAGGACCAATATGTTTGCCGCCACCAAGTGTCTCAAAGTCTCCCATTCTGAGGAGCGTAGACCTTCTTGACAACAATGACAACAAGGATTGAGTGGGATCCTACTTGACACATTTTTGGAAAATGGGATTTAAAGGAAAAAAATGCCAAATGTACTTTTAGTTTGGTCCCCCCCCCAACAGGTTACATCTTGGAAGTAAGGATAACTTTATTCCTTCACATTTGACCCATTTCTGTCCAAATAATATCTAAGAGAATCCTGATGTTTGCTGACATAAATTGTACGTTTGCATACAGTTTTTAAGTCTGTTATGTTGAAAATCCAAATGATTGTAATGCCATTCGTATGTAGTTCTCATATTTATTGAACTTGAATCAAGGATTTTTAAAGCAAATAAAATGGGCTGTCGGTGTCATACATTATTAGTAGGCATTTGTCATGGCGATACTTTTTGTCTGACTCCTTATAGCATCAACAGTGATGTCAGCTGTGACCTTACTCAACGTTACATTCAAGCACATTCCTCAGTCGTTGATAGTGTCAATAGTGAGACAGGTTAGTGCTAATGTTATTGCTTATTATTGCCTTAATTCAAGTTTTCAATTCCAAGTAAAAGTTTCTAGATTATGAATAGTAGCAATTTTCATTAATGTATGTTCAAAAGTTCTTGTTAGCGTTAAAAATTTGAATTAGTAATAATTTGAACAGAAGTGGCATGAATAGTTTGCCAGGCACATGAAAAAAATGAATATGGGCATTTCACAATCGAACTCTGTCAACCCTATGTGCATTTGGAAAGGGTCGACGGATTTCGCATTTGTGATTGGCCAATGCATTGCAAACTCTTGGAGGCTCACTATTGTGAAACATCCGTATTGGGTTTTCTTTTATCATCAGTTACTTCTTCTACATCTTCTATTTCTGTTTCTATTCATACAGTTTTCCTGAAAGTCTATTTAAACAGTTTCATTCTTTCTTTTCATTTCAGGACTCAATAACTATGCAGATGGAATACTGACAATTTGTACAAATCATCCAAATGGTATCAGATTTAACAAACATGCTATTTCTGTGTTTAATTACTAAGTCATGATGGATTTCTGCTGATGTATTGATTTTATTACTGCTGCTACTGTTGACTTCTCATTACAGAGAGTGAAGCCTGGAACCCTTCCCTTACTCCTGAAAATGTTAAGAATCTTCCTTTTATACAGCAATTCCTTCAATTCTCAAAGGTAAATTATCCTTGTTGATGAGTTTCTTATACATGTATTACATTAACCCTAACAGTCCCAAATCCTCTGATTACAATATGATTTTACATACACCCGAGGGAGTTAGGGTTAATACCAGAATGCTCATTGTGACTTCTCTAACTTTTGACAATCTTTTGTCTTGCAGGCCAATGCACAGTCAAATAAACCAGACAGACTGAATGACCCACTTATTCTCCATCAAAAAAATTGTGGTCGTCAGAAGAGACTTGCTGAACCTCAACCATCGGCCAATCAACCCAGTGCACGAGACCATTCAGCTAATGAATCAAATGGTATTAGTTCATCCCATGCCAACAAGTTACCTGTCACAAAGACTCCTAGCCAACAGAGCCAAGAACACCAATCATCATTTCCTACTGTCAGGTCCATGACCTCATCAACCAACACAGCGAAATACCCTCTAGGTCAGAGTTCAACAAAGCAGGGGTTATGGGGTCAAGGTCAAACAGACAACAGACAACCACCCCAGATGTCAACAGTTTCAAGAATTCCGAATCTTGTTGTCAACTCAAGGGGTAACTACGCAGTTACCCCTTCTGTCCAGGAGCGACCAACCACCATTCCTCAATCCGACCCAACCATACTCCATAACCATGTGCCAGCATTTTCCTCCCGATCCACCTCTAACTGGAATCAAAGTAATGGTCTGATTAACGAAAACCCAGGACCTGCCTATGACAGGGACATTCCAAAGTCGTCTGGCTTCCATACTCATCAAGGCTATCGACCAAGTGGGCCCACTTCACACGTTGCACCGCCCAATTCTCTGAAAAGAAAGACCATGTTCCAAGAAGGTAGAGTATCAATCTTGTTCATAAGATTTTCACTGAGCCTCAAGAAGCTCATACTTTGAAAATTATGAACTTGGTAAGAACGGAATGCATATATATGTATTCCACTACTTCTGGTGTGTGTTGTTCAATCAATGCCATGGAAACAGACAGTTTTTTGGTTCAGTGGTGTCTGTTTCATGGA